GGGGGTGGGGATTAGAAGGCATGAGAGAGCTGTGCCCAGCACGTGGCAAACTCAGAGCAGTTCCCATCTGGCTCTCCAGGCTTCCTTCACATTCTTTCTGCTTCTCTACTTAATAAACATAACATTGAGCTCTGGTATCCCAGCCGTGGGTTTACTGGTTCCTGACATCCCAGTTCTAAGTCTAGACATAACCCTATGTTGAGAGAACAGACTCAGTTTCATTGCATTCCCGGGACAGATGCCATTCCCTCTCGATCTATATTCCTCTTGCTTTATATTAAAGGTCAAGCAGTAAGTCTCAAGGTGAAGAGAAGTCATTCCTTATTGTTATAACTAGTGTTCAGCCTAATTTAGGGGCTCTAAAGGGGACTGTAAAACGAATAAGAAAGGTTATCATTATATGCCAGGCCTGGTGCTGAGGATTTGCATAGACGCTCAATGCCATGCCTACATGGTGAATATTCTTTGTAAGGGATGATTCCCATTGTTTCACAGGTGAATGATCAGGCACAGAGATTAAGTGTCTTGCCTTCAGTCTGGCAGCCATAGGGAACAGAGCCAGTCAGCTCAGCGTCCAGTCCCAGCCACTATGCTGAAAGAGGATTTATAAACACATCCCATATTTTCCCTCTTTCGATGAGGTTCCTGATATGATATCTTTGTCCTGAAATTCTGGGTCAGAACATACAGTCTGAGCATGGATGGTGTTGCAATCTTCTCTCATGTGCTGCTGGTGTCTGAGCCAGCAGCTCAGGCCCTGCTGGGAAAGCAGCACCCACAGCCTTCCACCCCCCACGGACACAGGGGTGGGAGAAGCGGAGATCCCTGAAAGTCAAGAGCAGCTCTTTGCCCTTTCTCTGGAAGGATCAGAGAGATGCCCATTAATTCCTAACAAAGTTCTTTGTTTTTCCAGGTGCCTGGCATGCAGCATAGAATAAATAATATTCATTAAGACGTGCCTACTATGGTATAGGTCTTGTAGCTCATTCAAATCCTCATGGTTTATCTCATCTATTTTGGGGAGGTTCACAAAGTTCTTAAGTAGCTTGTCCAATGTATCACGGAAAGGAGAAAGCCGGGGTTCAAATCTAGAACTATGTCGTGAGCCACTATAGTCTACTGGTTCCCTCAACATGTATGATTTCATTACGTGGCAGATGCAGGACAACAAGACTTCCAGCCCCTGAGGTTTCTTCCCCTGGCATCTACCCTGTGCAAAGCCTCCAGTCTTCTCTGTCCCTCTGCCTTCTCTGCAGTGTTCTGTCCACTTCTCTGTCTCCCCGGTCAGCTGCAGGAGCAGGGCGTATGCGAGCCCAGGGGGTCTCTCAGAACACCACCCCATCTCGCTGACTGTATTAATGATTCACTTCGTCAAACAAGCTCCATTTTCCCCCCAGATGGGAAGAGACAAAATCACAACATATTTAGTTTAAAGATTTTAATTGGCTTTTATTTGGAGTTCTAGAATTGAGCAACATCTCATTTTATAAAAATAGAATGGCATTCCCGTGAGCGTTTCCACGAACGTTCATGAGCCAGCAGAGGAGGCTGGTTTTATAGACAGAAAAGAACTGATGAAAGCAGGCCTAGAACAAAAAGTAAATTGATGATTTCAAAGTTATTAATACTTTCCTTGTAAAGGTTAAAGCAGAGGGGACTTCCTTATCATCCTGGTTAAAACTGACTTGTCTGGAGATTTGCCTATTAGCTATCTCTCTCCTGATTTCTCAGAAGGTCAGATAAACAATTTACTTTCAACCCAGTGGTGTGAAACTTCAGGATGAGTAATTCCATTTTGGTTTGGTCTGTTGGACTTAGTGCAAGAGCTTAGTCTAAAGCAATGGCCTCCTTTTAATTTTATTTAACAGGGAGAAAATTGTTGACATCCTGTCTTTCCAATGCCCCAAACCCTGATCCTTGGAGAGCTTCATGGTGGAGAGTACTTGTCAAAAAATTATTTAGATAGAGGCTTACCTACCCCAGGAACAAGGACTCTGGGTCTGCCACAGGCTGCCCTTATTCCCAGTCTCATTTTCTTTCTGTGTTAATCAAGAATGAAAGGACCCTCCTGGGGACAAGATGGAGGGGAAAGAAATGATGTGCAAAGATATCCTTGCATTCATGAAGGGGAAAAACATTCCCCAAGAAGTTAAACAAAATAACATAGATAAAACATTTAGCTAGTGCCTGGCACATGGTAGGTGCTCAAAGCTGTATAAGGATCCCCGAGATGATGGTGCTAGAGCCAGAGGCACCTGCAGAGTTTGTTGAGGCTGGCTGCTGCAGGGCGTGGCTGACTGGAGAGAGCTTTCCTGAGTTTGCCTGCAGAGTACCATTGGCAGCATGCCCACAGCTCCTACGAAAGTGACCTAACTTGGATATTTACACATGGACACAGAGTTGCAAGACATTCTCATTTGCATGGTGATGGGAAATTCATTTTTCCTAGAAACTGCATGTCAAGACCCAGAAGGAAGAATCATTTCATAATAATGATTAATCAGCTATATTTTAAAGAGGAAAGAAAAGAAAACAATTAAGGAAATAAGATGCTAAGAAAACAAGGGGAAAAACAATCTCCCAAAGGCAGACACACCCAGTAAACCTTGATAGCATTTCCTCTTATCCACCTGCATAAAAATGACCAGCCCTTTCCAAGTGGCAAAGAGCACCAAGAGAGAACTGGGAGAGCAGAGGCAGGCACCCAGGAGAGCTGAGGTGAGACTCACCCTGCCCTTCGACAGAGGCTCGTATCCATCACCATCCTAACCTTCCTCCTTTGCAGCTGACTTGTTAGCACTGGGCACGGGTCTGATGCCTCGGGTGCATTTCCTAGTATGTGCGGTGATACTTTACATAGCGGGTGAACCTTCTAGTATTTCATTTTCAGTAAGAAAAGACAAAGAGTTGGAAGGAAAGAAGAAAGGGAGGAAGTTAGGGGAAGGAATCAAATGTGTTTAGTATTGCTTTTTTGTTTCAGGAACTACGCTGGACACTTCATAGTGTGTTACCTTTTTCTGATTCTTTGCAGCATTACATTATCTTTTTAAATCTAAGGAGCACCACTGGTTCGGTGGCACCCAATCAGAAATGGGTTCCTGTCTGTCTGGTGTAGAGGGAACCACTGGGATCTCCAGCTGAGATGCCGGAGGGAACAGTGTTGGGAAGGTGAACTGTAAGAAGAGCTGGCTGGGGGGTGGCGGTGCAGGCCTGCCGGGCAGGTTACTTCACGACTCTAAGTCTCAGTTCCTTCCTTGGAAAATAGGGGCTCAAACAAAACCCATTTCACAGGTGGCTGTGAGCATTAAATAGGATGATAATGCAAAATTATGAATGCACTTGGCATGTATGATAACAGTTACCTGCTACTAATATCTGAATTGGCCAAGATGTCTGGGATAGCTTCACCAAGCTAAGGGAGGCATCCTCCTCCTCCACAAAATGTGGGTGGCTCCCGGCGTGGGCTGAGCAGGCAATGTCCCACTGCTTCTGGGAGTTATCTTGTCAGAAGAAAAACCTCACTCTCTTCCTAGTGGCTTGGCTATCTAGAAGCACCCTGGTAGCCTTCTGAGAGCACAGAGCTTTAGGGGACTGTCCACAAACCATCCTGACAATGGGGCCTATGTCCTTGTTTTGCCAGAAGGAAAGAGTTTGAAAAAAGAGACATCAAGCTCCTTAGCATACTGCCTGGCACATGTGAGGCCTCAACATTTCCTTCCCAGAAACGATGCCACTTAGGTAGAGACAAGGCAGAAAGGATTTTCTAAATAGGATTTGCTGTTACGTGGCTTTCTAGAGAAGACGCTGGGAATCCCGAGGACGGTCTGGGGAGTGGAGGTGGGCAGTGGGAGCAGTTGTGGCGCACACTTGTGTGATCTTAATAGTTACCGCAGTGAGAACCGTGGTGGGGTGTTGGAGTAGTCTGCTCCACTCGCTGGCTTCCCATGTTGGGTGCCCTTCTCTGCGCCACTGCCGTACACAGGTGCTCACCCCAGCACACAGCTGGGACTGAGACCGCAGAGGACCTGGAGCAGAGGGCCGGCCGATTCACCTGTGTGGTCACATGCCGCACCACTAAGGTGAAGCGCTGTTAATGAAGCTTGTGTGAGTGGGGGAAGTGAGTGAGAGAGAGAGAATTCAATAAGCTTTGCCACTTTCTGCACCTTTCTCGGTGTGGATTACATGGCACTGCGTAAAGTGGTTTAACGAAAAGGCAGAGAGAAAGACAGAAGCTAGAAGGGTGAGAGAATGAGAAGAGGTGGCAATCGTCCTAGGAACTGGTCCTGCCTAGTACAGAGCTAGCTGCAAACGTGTCCCTCATGCCCCCTGCCTCAGTGGATGACAGACGGGAAGCTGCCGACTCGGCCTCTGTCGCGGTGCCTCCCCCTAGCTCCTCACCCAGGCTGATTATTAATAGTTACAGGCGATGTCCTGTGCCTCTCTTTCTTATCTTCTCCAGAAGGCGAAATCTGCATAGCTGGCCTCAGACAAATGATTTTAAGCAGATACACATTGGGGGTTTATAATAAAAGGATTTTGTCTATTTCGGGGATAAACATAAAAAACCAAATATGCTTTAATGGTTTTTCAGATCTGTTGCCTAATTCCTGGGGCGTATTAACAAACTTGTTTTTCGTATTTAATTTATTAAAAGCAATGCTTTTCACCCCTGTTGACAAAGTGGGCCGTGTTGAGTCATAGGAGGGAGATCTATACACAAATCTGCCCCCTGGACTGAGAGAACACTGCATCCTGCCCTCTGGGACTGGAGGTAGGGGACTGGGGTGGGGACGTAGGAGGACTCACATCTAGTTGTCTAAAGGAAACCAAAGGAGGAGACACATGTCCCTGGAACTGCACAAGGCTGAGGTAGTGAGTCTTCTTCCCTCGGATGCTGTCTGCTTGTCGGCAAGGTCTGCAGGGAGAGTCAACCAGGGGCCTTTTCTTTCATTGCCCTCCCTGCTTGGCTGGGCAGCTGATTCTACCCCTGTCTGCAGGACATGAAGGTACAGTGTGCTGCCCTCTGGCTCCTGGCCGCAGCGCTCATCTTGAGCTCAGTGCACACCCGCGGGCTCAGGAAGTGTCTGATTTCCATGGACACGCACCATTTAGAAGAGAGTTTCCAAGAAATCAAAAGAGCCATCGTGAGTACGGGTTGGGGTAATAGTGTGGACAGAGGGTGTGCCTCGTCTTACATCTGTGAAAATTGAGTTCCTTTTCCTTATCTTCGCTGTCTCGAGAGAACTTGGAGTACTCATCGCTTGTGTCTGTTCTTATGTTTCCCTGCATAGCAAGCTAAGGACACCTTCCAAAATGTCACCATCCTGTCTGCATCAGAGACGCTGCAGAGCATTAAGGTATTGGCCTTTGTTGGCTCTTTCCTGTATTTTCATCTGGGCTCCAGGCTGAGGAGGAAATCCCAACTCTATCCCTTTCTCTTTCCTAATCCCCACAGTCCTCTAAATGCACCAGGCTTCTCCTATTTCAACTGATGTGTCAGGGCACATTTGCATCCTAGGGCCTTGGAACCCCTGGGGAGGGAGCAAAGACAGGCCATTTTCCTAGAGAGGGATTGGGCGTGCCAGGCACTCAGAGGGGACAGGATTTCTGTGACTTGCAGGTAATTTTGAAAGGTCTCCTGGGGAGAGCTGAGAAAATGAACAGATTTCAAAACCAAGGAGTTTTCGGGTTAGTAAATAAACAGGGGGAAGGGATTTGGAGGGCATTAAGAGAAAGAACACTGTAAGATCAGTAAAGGTAGGAACAGGCACTGGGCCCAGGGAGGTTAGTGACGGGGAAGACGTGCAGGCAAGTGGTGTGGGATGAAGTGCTGTCATCCAAATACCCTGGCGTCATCTTACGAAGTCCCCTGAAGCCAGGTTGAGCCTGTGCCTTGAAATAGAGGCAATATCACTGAAGGCTTTTGAGCCCAGAGTTATATGATCACAAAATGCTGTAGAAAGACAGTCTGGTGGTGTTCTTAGTGGACAACAGGGGACAGGAAAGCCAGTGAGAAGATCACCTTCCAGACAGGAGCTGCTAATAGTGTGTTACAGCATGGTTGGCTTACCAGGAGATAATTCATTTTACCAAAGGGGCCAGGAAGGTGCCTTTAAAAATGAACTCCTCCGGTCCTTGGAAGCAATTCTAGAAAGATCCAGGTTCATCTGCAATGGGTGACTTTTTCCTTAGGTGTCTCTGCACACGTGACAGAGACAGGCGCCTTTGCAATTCTTCTAGGCGGTGATTCACTCGTGGTGCATAGACGTAGCCACTTACTGAATAATTTTCCAGCCACTAGATTATAGGCTCATAGGGTATCACAGCTGTAAGAGAACAAAAAGACTATTTCCAAAGCATCATTTTAAAATGAGATCTCAGGAGGGAGACTGACTAGTTAGTGGCTGAGCTGGGAATAGACCTCAAGTTTGTGTTTCTGTCTCCAGATACTTTCTCCTCTCAAGGTCAAGAAATAGCTGGTGCGGAATAAGGAAAGGGGCCGATCGGGATACAGGACTTTGTCACGTTCCCTTTCCCCTTCCCTCCATCCTTCCTTTCCTTCTACCCTCTTTTTTTCCTTCTTCCCTCCTGTCCTTCCGCTCTTGCTTTCCTTTTTTTCTGTGTTTGTTTTTCTGTACCACAATCTTCGATAACACAGCAGGATGTAGCTTTTTGCTCTTTGGGTTACGGGAACCAGCAGGAGTGGAGGAAGAGAGGGATGTAGAGTTTGCGATCTAGGAAGGGCCACCCCTGGGGCTGGGGGGGCTTTGCTTTTTCAAGGCTGAGAAAGATGGATGTGCCCCCGCTCCCAGTTAGACTGAGCAGTTAATCTTCTGCAGAGTAATTCACTGGCTTTGGGGGTGGTGGGTGAGGTGCTAACTGGTAGAGGAGAATTTTATCCAGCCAGTTTCTCTGGGCCACACCTCCTGGGAGTTTAGGCCCCTTTCTGGGAGACGTCTGCACTCTGTGGACCTACCCAGATGTGCCCATTTCTGCAGCTGTCTGTGTCCTTTCTTGCAAATCTTAGCCCCTTACGAATGATCCCCGTGGTTTAGAAAGGACAGACTGGAAAGAAGCTAAGCTGAGCTGCCTGGAGCAGGGTGGCCAGAGTGGACACAATATCATTACACATCATTACAGTGGAAGGACTGTGTGTCCGGCACGATGCCTGGCAGATGATAACCCTTGAATGTCACTGGGTGAGAGACATTATAGAGTGGCTCGACTTCGGCCGCTATAGTGAGAGGAAGTACTTTTCAAGAAAGCTGCTCAGCCATTAGTTCTCTTAAAAAGGAGGCAGCTGATCACTGGAAGGATTTGGGCAGGAGGAAGTTAGTGATGATACATTAGGGCAGGGGTCCTCAAAGTTTTTAAACAGGGGGCCAGTTCACTGTCCCTTAGACTGTTGGAGGGCCAGACTGCGGGCCCTGAGACGAGTTGGCTGCTCAGCAGCGGCGGCAAAAACACCCAGTTGGCCAGATAAATGTCCTAGGCAGGCTGCATGCGGCCCGCAGGCCATAGTTTGAGGACACCTGCGTTAAGGACACTGTGGAAAGGTTCTAGTCAATGGCTGGTTCTAGGCCCCATCTTTTGTTATTGTATCTCCTGAACATACAAACCCAAGAGTACATGGCAATCTGTTCTTGTCATGTTTGTCCTGAATAGCTTTGATGTGTGTAGGAGGATGAACACCCTGAGACCATCATGAATTTTTAAAACATGACTTACTTCTTGCTATCTTGTACTCAAATGGACTGCTTTGGTCTCTAAGATAATATGAGAAGAGGGCTTCTGGGAGTTTCTCTAACTCATGTCTGTAGCCCTCAGATGTGTGCTGTGTGACCAAGAACCTCCTGGCTTTCTACGTGGACAGGGTGTTCAAGGATCATCGGGAGCTGAACCCCCACATCTTGAGAAAAATCAGCAGCATTGCCAATTCTTTCCTCTACATGCAGAAAACCCTGCAGCGCTGTGTGAGTCACCATGTCCAGATTCCAAGCATTTGGTCCCTGCCTGCCCCAGGGAGAGCCCAAGAGGTGCTGGCTTCAGCTGGCCTTCTGATACGGTTCCCAGAGTCAAAGGAAATTCTCTCCTGTCATCCACGTCCACAAGGAAAACTGCTGAGAACCTCTCCCACTCGTCACTGCCTCCCCAGGGCTTCCTGCCTGCTGACAGCTCAGCAGATGTGTCTCCTCATGGACAATCCTCCTGGGGTGCCAACTTGTGGCAAAGTATTCCTTAAGTGAGAGTGGCATGCCAAGGGCTCCAGCCTTATCATGGGCATACCCCTAGCATCCTTGTTTCTGGCCTTTTGGGCTTTCCATACCAGTTAACCTCTGGGTGGTTCCTTGGTGTAACTTACCCTAAGGGTCAACTATAAATTCATTGTGATCTATTAAAGTCAAATATCAGAAACAAAACTGAGAAACCAACAAAAACTTAGGCCAGGAGAAAAACTGGGTTCTAACCCTATTCCTGCTAGGTTTCCTGCTTGACCTCATGGAAAATGACCTTACCTCTCTATACTTCAGATTTTAAAACTATCAGAAGGGGTAAAAGCCCTTTCCCACTTACCTTAATGCAACAATGGAATCACATGAATTCATTTAACCAATTATTTAATCAATCAGCCCAACAAATATATAGAGAGCGCCTACCTTACAGGGTGCTGCATTCACAGGGTGGTGACAGGTAGACTAGACTCTCTCCTGGTGCTGAGAGTTTGGTGGGTTGTAAAACCAGGAGAAGCGATAGCCATGGCCAAACGCTGGTAACTCTACAGACAGGCCCTATTTCCCCCTGGCTGCTCTCACTTGAATTTACTCACCTGACTCTCACTGTGAAAACAAGGAGAAATGTCACTTCCATGCAGGGAGGGGATGGTCAGAGCATGCCAGAAATGTCCTCTGACAGGAGCTGCCTCTACTTTATCACAGCAGGAGCAGAGGCGGTGTCACTGCAGGCAGGAAGCCACCAATGCAACCAGAAGTGTTCACGAGAACTATGATCAGGTAAGGTCTTGTTAAAGAGGTATGGTGGCTTGAGGTAGTCACCAAAATAATTGAAAAGAGCAAGTAAAATTTTAGCAAGAAAAACAAAGTTTATTAACAACTTGCACAAGAAGCTGCACCCCATCCTAATGACAGCAGGCTCCGTGGACAGTTTTGGGTTTTTCACACAGCTTTGAGGAATATCAACTATTTCTTGGAAGTCTCCCAGGGTCCTAATGAACTCTAACAACCCACCTGCAAGGTCTTGTAAACAGCCCAACTGTAAGATCTTGTTAACAACCCACCTGCAAGGTCTTAATCAGCTTCCTTCCCATAATATCCCAGGTTAGCCTGACCCAAAACAACCCAAAATAGCCTAACCATATCTGCCATCCACTCGACTCATATCTAGCTAATTGGCCTAACAGCCTGGTAGAGGAAGGGGAAGGCAGATGAGAGGAAGAAGCCTGAATAAGAGAGTGTCACGCCTCCAGCCTCCTCTCTACTAAAATTCATTCTGGGTTTTTCACACAGCTTTGAGGTATATCAACTATTTCTTGGAAGTCTCCCAGGGTCTTAATGAACTCTATACTCAAAACAACCCACCTGCAAGGTCTTGTAAACAACCCAACTGCAAGATCTTGTTAACAACCCACCTGCAAGTTCTTAATCAGCTTCCTTCCCATAATATTCCAGGTTAGCCTGACCCAAAACAACCCAAAATAGCCTAACCATATCTGTCATCCACTCGACTCATATCTAGCTAATTGGCCTAACAGCCTGGCGGAGGAAGGGGAAGACGGGTGAGAGGAAGAAGCCTGAGTAAGAGAGTGTCATGCCTCCAGTCTCCTCTCCACTAAAATTCATTCATTTACTCCACAAGTAGTAATTGTGGGCCTTCCCAATTCTATGCATCTGCAAAGAGTGTATTGGTCCTACCTCATTTACTAATTGGCTGGGCTCCCCTTCTCCATCATCTCTCCACTGTTTTCTAAAAGCCTCATATATCAGGCCTGGCCTCTATTCTAGGTGGGAGAAAGCACATACTATGTAAGATGTGGGTGCATGAAACATTTTACCTGCATAGTGTCCTTCTGGTCAGCACCTGCCATCAGTATTCTGCATGGTGAAGACTGCACAGCCTTCTCCTGTAGGTGTTGATGTAGAATATACCTCTGGTGTAGAAGTGGGCGGGGAAGCCATGCTTCTCATGTGCATCCTTTGAAGATCTTGCTAAAATGCACGTTCTGCTTCAGTAGGACTGGGGTGAGGCCTGACTTTCTGCATTTAGATCACACACCCTAATGATGCTAACCCTTTGAATAGCAAGGTGGTAAGGAGTCTCTGCAGAGCTCTGCTTCATTGTGGGAAAGCTCTGTAGGATAATATGATAGAAAGAGCTAAGGGTCCACGTGGTTCTTACTATGAGCCAGGTACTGCTTTAAGGGCGCTACAGGTATTAACCCATTTGTCCTTTACAACAATGCTCTGAGTCATTATCTGCATTGGATAAATGCAGAAACTGAGGCATAGCAGGTTAGATAACTTAAGTTCATGCTGCAACCGTGTGGTGGATCACATGCTGGCTGGCTCTATAGGACAAGTTGTAGATCATATCACCTCCTTTACATCTGCTGAAAAAGGAGGTGAAATAAGTCGGGAGACTTGGATTCCAGTCCCTGCTCTGTTACTAATTGGCTGTGTGACTCTGAGATGGACATTTACCCTTTGTAGCTTTAGTGCTTTAATATGTCTAATGGAGACCACATACCCTCCCTACCCAGTGTACAGCCCCATGAGGATTAAGGCAGAAATACTAGCGTGAGCCAGTGTGGAAAAGAAAATAAGCAGAAGAACTGGCCAGGAGGGCAGATTTTTCCTGTGAAAAACAGGGAGAACAGAAACAGAGGGGGAAGAGTGAAGGATTTTTGATTTCATTTATAAGGAGCTGACATGATTTTCAACTGCTTGTTTGTGGGGGAAAAAAGTGGTCGCCTTTTAGGAAAAGAATGTTGAGTCTATATGCTATGCAAATATATTTGATGACTAAAAAGAAAACCTTGTGGGGACCAGAATATGGGGAAGGTGAATTGAAAACTATCACACAGTTTGGAACAGTGGTTCTCAACCTTCCTAATGCTGGGGCCCTTTAATATAGTTCCTGTGGGTTGCGACCCACAGGTTGAGAACCGCTGGTTTAGAAAGACAAGTTCTTACTATGGTTTCACTGGTTGCAGCTGGAGGTTCACTCTGCCGCTGTGAAGTCCCTGGGAGAGCTCAACGTCTTTCTGGCCTGGATTGCCAAGAATCATCAAGAAATTTCTGCTGCTTGATGACATGAAACCTGTCCAAAATCCAGGGATAAACTCCTCCTGTGCGGTTTTCTGTGGGAGACAACCTGCTTTGAAGGGGGGGATGGGGAAGGCCCCCATGAATATCCAGCTGAGAAATCTCCCTGTTGATGTGGGATTCTTTCCTCTGAGGCTGGGAAGACTCTGGGTTTGGGCAGATCTCGCCCTGCACCTGAAAGTCCTACTGGCTGGTCTCAGGTTATCTGATCCCACCTGAAAAGAGCCAAATAGTGTACTGTGGTATTTATAATAATAAAATATGTCTGTGCAAAGGTCCAGTGGGCCATCTCGGATGTAAAGGGTCAGCTCCCCACTAATTTATTGTGAAACTGTTTCTCCTATGTCTGTGATGTGAGCTGACTAATATCACGTAGTGCATATTGTACTGACTTTTTTTTCTGAATAAACTGTGTACTTTACCTATGTGTGGAAGTGTCTTCTGATTGGGGAAGAGTCAGTCAAGGAATCATAAATGGAGCGTATTAGAAATGAAAGGGGCCTGGCCAGGTGTGGTGGCTCACATCTGTAATCCTAGCATTCTGGCAGGCAAAGGTGGGTGGATTGCTTGAGCTCAGGAGTTGAAGACCAGCTTTAGTAATAGTGAGACCCGTCTCTACTAAAACTAGAAAAACTAGCTGGTCGTTGTGATGGGCACATATAGTCCCAGCTACGGGGAGGCTGAGACAAGAGGATTGCTTGAGCCCAAGAGTTTGAGGTTGCTGTGAGCTATGATGACACCATGGCACTTTACCCAGGGCAACAGAGACACTGTCTTAAAAAAAAAAAAGAAGAAGAAGAAAGAATGGAATGAAAGGAAACTTTAAAAACATAACAGATGGGGAAGATAAGGCCTAGAGGGGAGCTAGAATGTGCTTAGGCTCCAAAAGCAAGTTAGTGCAGAAAACAGTTCCACGCTGGGTCTCTAAATTCTCCAGTACCTTTCCTCTACATAGAGATCAAGAAGGGTGGAGGAAAGTTCCTCTGACCACTGACTCCTTGACATGGCTGCATTTCTGATCTCTCTTTCTCTGTGTCTGTTTTCTCTCTCTGTCTCTGATTTTTCTCTGTCTGTCTCTCTGTTATTTCTTTCTGATGCTTCCTTTCCAACCTAGATATACCATGTTTCCCCCCAAATAAGACCTAGCCAAAAAATAAGCCCTAGCAGGATTTCTATGCATTAGCCCTACCCCGATAATAAGGCCTAGTGATGGGTGTGGCTGTGCAGCGTATCTGCATAGCCAAGCCCTGCATTTCCACGCAGAGTGGTCAGGAAGACTGGAATACCTTTTATCTGCCACAGATCCTTTCTCCCAGCCATTTGCACTTGCCCAGGTGCGTGTGTGGTAACCGTGGTTGCAGGCATCCTATTGCACATGTGCGAACGGCTAGGGAAAGGAATTCACTCATCACTAGCACCAGCCCCACCAACAAGGTCGGCTCCCCCTGTCAGGTTCCAGAAGAAGATGACTTAACTGTATTTGGATAAATGTAGATTGTTGTATTATACTTAATAAAAATAAGACATCCCCTGAAAATAAGCCCTAGTGTGTCTTCTTGAGAAAAAATGAATATAAGACAGTGTCTTATTTTGGGGAAAACACCGTATCTTCCCTGGTCCTAATCCATTCTCCACAGTGTATGCAATGGGCTGGGAGAGGGTGTTGAGCAGGGGGATAATTGTCATGGTGACAAAGCTGTATGAGTCCACAGGCAGGGGTACCCTGGGTGGCTTCTGGCACAGACAGCTGCACCCGCACGAGAGAAACACAGTCACTACCCATGGTGGTGGAAGAGCTAGCGGGAGAGGAGGGGGACGAGAAGGAGGAACAAAGGTGGAAGGAGGTGAGCGCGCCCTCTCTGAACTTGACGGTATCCTACCTTACATTCTCTGTTGTCTCTGGTCTGCTTCCTCTATCAGCCTGTTTGTCTTTTCTCTCCTCTCAGCCTTGAAGATCATGTCCCAAATCTTTTTAGTCCACAGTGGGTCTGACCCAGAGAGGTGTGAGTGTTTCCTCACACAGCTGGTTCTTAAGAAATACCTGGTAAGAAACTAAGTACAAAATTTCCCCAAACCATACCTCCCGAGCCCGCTATCAGTGCCCGGGTGGCTCCCTGGAGGAACCTAGGGCTCACTTTCAACTTCTGAGATCCAAGGGGAGGGAGCCCACATCAGGTGCCAGGGCCATGCCAGGCACTTTACATACAGGACCTTACTTGAGCCTCAGGGAGGCAGAAGAGGATGGAGCTGTTTCCAGGTGGGCAGGGAAGGAGTCTGAGGCCCAGGGAGGTGGGGGAACTTGCCGAAGACCAGATAGCTCAGGGCCTTCAGATCTGGAAAGTGAATCCAGCCCTGTTCTTCCTGATTCTAGTGCTCTCCCGCCTTGCTGCTGGAAGAGTTCACTTTATTCCAACCCTGGCGTTGTAACCAAGGGCCCAGGTTAAACTGAATGCCAGCAGTGCAGCTAACTAAACCCAGATGTGGCAAAGGGGGTCTGGGCTCATTAGCAATAAGCCTCTGAAGTTATACAAAAATTAACGGACTAACATAGACCAAAGGAGCAGAGGTTGACTCCTGAGTGTGTCACACAATGTTCCTGGCCCAGCTGAGGTCTGGGCTCCTCCTGGGAATGCTCTATTCTACTTCCAGAGCAAATTGCTGACAGCCTCACATGCTCAGGGCTGTCTTTTAGAATCAAGGACTTGCCTAGAAGTTGGCCCAAGTGGGTAAGAGGATAGGTTTTGTGTGAAATCTTGGCCCTGCCACTGTGATCTTGGGCAATTTATTAAAAATGAGCCTTGGGTTCCTCATGTGTACAATGAAAGAGATATGTAGTATCTGCCTTATGGAATTGCTATGCAGATTTGAGACCCATTTATACAGTGCCTGGTGTGTAGTAGGTACTCATTAAAAATAGGTGATGGTTGCTACTATTTGATGATTCTCAATTTTTCTGATCTTATTTCCCATACAACACAGCTGTTGGAGGAAAGCCTTGCTCTTATATATTTTTTTAAACTAGCAAGTGATCTAAGAGGCCTGGCCCTGGCTGGCTGTGCTTTCCTCCAGGTCTGCATCTCCACAGGGAATCTTTACCGAGTCCCTGCTATGGGGATGGCAGTTCTTGCCTGGCAGCCAGGCTCCAGGCGGCCTTTCTGATTCCTGGCCACTCAGGCCCTCCTCCTCCAGGCTGGCCCAGTGCCCTGTGCTTCCTCCACCACAGCCCTCACCAGTGTAGGGCTCTTCCCTCGACTCTATCTGGCCTGGAAGCTTGTTTCCTTCAGCACTGATTATCCCAGCTTCAACGACCCCTGGCACATAGGACACACTTGGTGTCGCCCATGCGGTCATGAACAAGTGCTTGACTGTAGGTGGCAGAGGAAACCCATCTCTCCTGGAGGTAAGGTCATAGCAGGGGTCGGCATATTACATTTGGCCAAGGAGTTGGGGGGAGGACAAATGTTTAAATTGTTGCTATGAACTCTGGAGCATTCTAGGGATAGTCTATACTTCACATCCTCTTACAGAGAGATACTCAATTAGTCTAGTTTCAGACCTCTGCCACTGAACCACCTTCAGTGCAGCTTTGAGTTCTATAAACAAGGCCTCTCTGTGCAGACACAAGGCTGGATCGGGCACCATGTCCCCTGGAGGGCTATTTCAGGACCTGTGGAGGGTTTTGAATGCACTTTCTTACCAGGGGATAAGTACACCCTAGTCCGGAGGCCTTTGTCTGGTCACTTTCTTAGATACTCTAAGATGACTCAGTGCCTCAGTTTCCGCATTTGGAAAAAGAAGAGAATAATCGCACCTGCTTCATAGGGTTGCATGAGGATTCAAGGAGTTAATATACAGTAGAACCTCTGTACATTGACCACCCGAGGGACTATAACAAACTTGAACATACTGAGGTGGTCATCATAAGGAACTAGGCCTACTGTACTGGTATGGCAAAATACATACACATATTTTACTTTTGATCTACAAAAATTACAGCAATTTAAGGAGGTGGTCACTATAAGGAAGTTGTCAACTATGAGAGTCTGCTGAAGTATATGAGGAGTGCCTGGCGCCATGGCAAGTGCTACAAACCAACAGCAAAAGAGCCTGTAGTCATCTTCTGGTGCATTTCAACTGTATCCCCACCATAGGCTTAACTTCCTGAGAACCCACCGCACCCCCAGGGCAGAAAATCCTCTCCTTTCAGATCCTTGCTCTCCATCCTCTCTCCTATTTGTGTTCCTTGGGACCCAGAGTGGTCCTTCATTTCTTGACACATCAGAGATATTTCAGTATCCACTTCCCCTGTGCAAATCTCAGCTCCTGATGGCACAGGTGTTGTGTAAATGGCTGCACTCAGTAAATAAATGCTTATTAAATGAATGCATGCATACATGTGAAGCCAGGAAAGTTGCCTACAAGGCGGCCTCTGGGAAGCCAAGCTGAAGCAGTACAGCTGACCTAGTCTGCTCAGCACTTCTTCTTTTCCATCATACTTTCCATGATTATCTAGTTAAGGTTTGCGAGGATGTTTACTAAGTATCGTCAGATTGTTAGAGTAAAGGCTACTTTTAAGTTGTTTTCTTTGATGATTCTTTAGATAAAGTTAAAATTTGCTGGATTTGTTTCTTTGTATCCCATTATAAAAATGCTTAGCATTGTAACTGAGGTGGAAGAGTCTTGGAGAGGCTATTCTCATTGCTCTCCAGAATTGCTGGCCTTCTGATAATGAAGCTTGGTGATGTATCCCTCATCTCTGTGTATGGGCTGGACAGTGACAGGCAGTCAGACCCCTTCCTCTGGTAACACAGGCAATCCCACCTGTGTAGGCAGTGCCCACTTGGAGGAAGCCTGTGGCTTTGTCTCTGGTTTGGGATCTCTCAGGCTTTTTCTTATCCTCCGTTTGGATCCTCTGCCTCTTGTTCTGTGTCTCTGGTTTCTAGTTTCACAGCAAGGAATCAGCTTTCTGTCTGGTCTGCTTGGCTTTGGTTTCAGTTTTGCCCCTGATTATTGTCTTATGGTTTTTAACTTCTCATCCTAAAGCCTGAAG